AGCTTACTAGTCTGTGGTGTGGTGGCTGCATTTGTTTTCTTTTTTTTGAAGCTTCTTTTCCATTATATTCATATTCTGGTAATCCTGCAAATAACACACTTCCTGTCCCTGGGTGGCTAATGAAGATAAACAGATATGAGCAGTTCATTTAATTCCAAATCAAAACTTGGACAAAATTTTATTTTTTTTGGAGATTCAGTTGTATCTGATTACAATTAAAATAGTAACAAATTTAACCAAATCTGACATAACAAAATTAAATTTTATCCAAATTCAAACAGAAATTCGAAATGTAAACATATTGCTCACTATTTCATTCAAAAGTTCAAATTTGATAAGAATACAATAAAAAATAAAATAGAATTGAATTGAATAAAAAAAAAAAAGAATAAAATAGAATAGAAAAAAAATAGAATAGAATAAAAGGAAATATAGTCGTCATCCGAAATTTGAATTCAAATAGAATAGAATAAAATAGAGTGTAGCTGTCTTCTGAAATTTCAATTTTTCGAATAGAATAGAATAAAAAGAATCAGAAAAAAAAAAATAGAAAAATACAAGAAAGAATAGAATACAAAAAACAAAAGGAATAAAATAGAAAAAAGAAAACAATGAACAGAAAATAAAACTAGAGTAGATTAGAATAGAATACCAAATCGAATAGAAAGAAATTAACAAGAATAAAGAATAGAAAAAAAAGAAAGGATAGAAAAAAATAGAATAGAAATACAAATAAATCTTTCACAAAAAAAATAAAATAAAAAAAAAAAAAAGAATAAAAAAAAAGAATAAAAAAAAAAAAAAAAAAAAAAAAAAAAAAAAATAAAATAGAAAAAAAAAAAAAGAAAATAGAAAAAATGGAAAAAAAAAAAAAGAAATAAAAAGATCGGGGTGCGCGAATCGGAATTTTTCCCCGCGATCAGCCGGCAACTGTGTCCCGGCAGAAAGCTCCGCTATTTCTGACATTTCTCTGGACAGTTCCTTCAAATGTACAAATGGTTGTGAAACATGTATCTATTAGTTTCCATTTAGGAATAACAGAATGTTATCAACCGATGTGTAGAAATGTGAAGAAGCTGTCATGAGAAAAGTCAGAAATAGAGGAACTCTGCACATACATTTTTGCCGGTTTGGAATTAGTAGAAATGACATCCTAACTTCTGTCTTCTTCTTCTTCATCTTCCTTCAGGGGTCCTATCCTAAGAAGAAGTAAGAAGACGATGAGGATGAGGATGAAGAAGAAGAAGAAGAAGAAAAGTTGGATGAAAATAAATTAATTCCAAGCCGGCAAAAAGTGTATCTGCAGAGCTCCTCTATTTCTGCTGATACACTTAGAGGAGCTCTGCAGATACACTTAGAGGAGCTCTGCAGATACACTTTTTGCCGGCTTGGAATTAATCTTATTTTCATCCACTTCTTCTTCTTATCCTCATCCTCCATCCTAGAAGAAGAAGAGGATGAGGATGAGAATGAAGAAGAAGAAGAGAAGAAATATGATGAAAATAAGAATAATTCCAAGCCGGCAAAAAGTGTATCTGCAGAGCTCCTCTAAGTGTATCTGCAGAATTAGAGGAGCTCCTTCAGATACACTTTTTTGCCGCGCTTGGAATTATTTTTATTTTCATCCTACTTCTTCTTTCTTCTTCCTCTTCAATCCTCATCCTCATCCTCTTCTTCTCTCTTCTTCTGAGGATGAGGATGAAGAAAAGAAAAGAAGTAGGATGGAAATAAGAATAATTCCAAGTCGGCAAAAAGTGTATCTGCAGAGCTCCTCTAAGGTTATCTGCAGAGCTCTCTAAGTGTATCTTGCAGAATGGAGGAGCTCTGCAATAAAGAGATACACTGCAGAGGAGCTGCAGATACACTTCTTCTTCTTCCTCGTCATCCTCATCCTCATCCTCTTCTTCTTCTTCTGAGGATGAGGATGGAAAAGAAAGAAGAAGAAGTAGGATGAAAATAAAGAATAATTCCAGCCGGGCAAAATTGTGTATCTGCAGAGTGTCCTCTATTCTGCAGATACATTAGAGGAGCTCTGCAGATACACTTTTTTGCCGGCTTGGAATTAATCTTATTTTCATCCTACTTCTTCTTCTTCTTCTTCTTCTTCATCATCTCATCCTCATCCTCAGAAGAAGAAGAGGATGAGGATGAGGATGAAGAAGAAGAAGAAGAAGTAGCATGAAAATAAGAATAATTCCAAGCCGGCAAAAAGTGTATCTGCAGAGCTCCTCTATTCTGCAGATACACTTAGAGGGAGCTCTGCAGACACACTTTTTGCCGGCTTGGAATTAATCTTATTTTCATCCTACTTCTTCATCCTCATCCTCATCCTCAGAAGAAGAAGAAGAGGATGAGGATGAAGAAGAAGAAGAAGAAGAAGTAGGATGAAAATAAGAATAATTCCAAGCCGGCAAAAAGTGTATCTGCAGAGCTCCTCTAAGTGTATCTGCAGAGCTCCGCTATTTCTGACAGTTCTGTGACATTCCACTCATCATACAGCGGTTGAAACATTGTATTATTTGTTTCCATAAATGGATCCATTTATGGAAACAAATAGATACAATGTTTCAAACCGCTGTATGGAGTGAATGTCCCAGAACTGTCAGAATAGGCTATTTCTGACAGTTCTGTGACATTCACTCCTTACAGCGGTTGAAACCGCTGTATGGAGTGAATGTCACAGAACTGTCAGAAATAGACAGAAACTGTCACAGAACTGTCCTTCTTCTCATCCTTCTTCTCATCCTTCTCCTTCTTCTCATTCTTCTCCTTCTTCTCATCCTTCTCCTTCTCCTTCTTCTCATCCTTCTCCTTCTTCTCATCCTTCTTCTTCTCATCCTTCTCCTTCTTCTCATCCTTCTTCTCATCCTTCTTCCTTCTTCTCATCCTTCTCCTTCTTCTCATCCTTCTCCTTCTTCTCATCCTTCTTTTCTTCTTCTCATCCTTCTCCTTCTCCTTTCTTCTCATCCTTCTCCTTCTTTTCATCCTTCTCCTTCTTCTCATCCTTCTCAACTTTGTAGCGAATTAATTCGCATCGGATCCAATTTCTTCCTGAAATTCGGCGAATCAGCCGAATCGAATTTTTGAATAATTCGCTCATCTCTAGTTGTCACCTTAGGCTGCTCTCCTGATATGAACTACAAACAAGTCCACATCTCTTCATCTCGGTTACATGTGGGGCAGAGCAAGTGGAAGATTACAGAAGATAGCATAAAAGGATAATATTTTTCAGTGAAGCACATGGGGGTAACAAGGACATTGCATTCCTGACAGGATCAACAGTTATTTCAGCATTTTCACAAAATGTTGTTAGCTTGAAAAAAAATAAAATAAAACTAATGCAGCCAACACATCTAAGGACTGTAAGCTACAATATATGACACTTTTGTTCTTTAAGGTTCTCTAGCCCAGTGTTTTGTTTCGGACAGAGTAGGGAAGGGTTACAACTCCTGTTGTTTTTTATTGCTGTCTGTCTTCTTGCCAGGCAGATTCCCTCTCTATTTGTCCTAGTGACCATTGTCTCGGGACAGAAAGTGATAGGAAATGTGTGTTTATAGGCGTCCAGCTGCCTTAGTAATCATCTCCAGGCAGCAGTCTGATTGCCTCGGTCTCGGAGGTTACAGCTGGCTGACAGTATATTGAGATACAGTCAGTGGCACGTCTTCCAATGTATATCTCTCTCTACCTGGCTGTATACTTGTCAGAAAATCACAAACCATCATCCAGCATGAGAAGTGTGATTACATGTGTAATTGAGAGACTAGGATACTGACACATCCTATCAAGATGCCATTGATGGATTACCGTTAGTAACACAGGAACGGTCAGATGGAGGTGAAGCACGAGCAATGACATGACCTGTAGCTGGAAGATTCTCCGACAGCATACACATGTATATAAACACCCGCCTTTGTACATGAGTGTTCAATGAACTAATAGTTTGTCCTCTCTCTGTTGTTTTGTATAGGGGAGCCCGTTGTACCTTCAGTCCGATCGAAATATTACTTTAAATATTCTCAGCGAGGATATGAAGCCTGTTACTCAGCTAGTTACAGGTAGGAAATATTCATTTCTGGCATGTGTCCTGATATGATGGGGGATTATGGGGATTTACAGTCTCTCTAGGGCAGTGGTTCTCAACCTTCCTAATGCCGCGACCCTTTAATACAGTTCCTCATGTTGTGGTGACCCCCAACCATAAAATTATTTACACAGTAATTATAATTCATGAGTGTCGTTTTACCTCCAATACTGCTGCTTTCAACACAGTAGCTGCTTTTAACAGAGTAGCTGCTTTCTACACAGTAGCTGCTCTTTACACATCGGAAATATGTGTTTTCTGATGGTCTTAGGGGACCCCTGTGAAAGGGTCGTATGACCCTCAAAAGGGTTGCGACCCACAGGTTGAGAACCACTGCTCTGAGGTGAAATGAGATGCATGTGTTTAAGCAGTTATTGTGACCAATGCCTGCAGTTTTCTGCTTTGTCAGAGTCTTCTATGCTATTCTATTCTCACGAGAAATTCCAGTCCAGGGGCAGTGTCAGCTTTATTTAAGGCTAGGTTCACATATGTGTGTGGGTGGTGCCGCATGAAAATCCGTGCAGCCACACCACCCGCACAGAGGATTGCGGACCCGCGGGCAGGTGCGATTAGTTCTAATCACATACAGCCCGCATGGAAAACGCAACCATACTGGGAACTAAGGGTTCCTGTGCGGACTGCATTTTCGGAAGAAGTGCAGGGACTTCTTCCCTGCGTGTCACGGTCACAGGATTCCATTCAAATGAATGAGCTCTTGTGCCCGTGCAAAGCACAGCTGCATATATGTGAACCAAGGCTAAGGCCCCTTTCACACGGGCGGTTAGATTTCAGCTTTTAGCTGTGGTTAGAGGAACATACACTATATTGCCCAAAGTATTGGGAAATCCCTCCAAATCATTGGATTCAGGTGTTCCAATCACCTCCATGGCCACAGGTGTATAAAATCCAGCTCCTTGGCATGCAGACTGCTTCAACAAACATTTGTGAAAGAATGGGTCGCTCTCAGGAGCTCAGTGAATTCAAGCGTGGTACCGTAATAGGTTGCCACCTGTGTAATAAGTCCATCCGTGAAATTTCCTTGCTACTAAATATTCCACAGTCAACTGTTAGTGGTATTATAACAAAGTGGAAGCAACTGGGAACAACAGCAACTCAGCCACAAAGTGGTAGGCCATGTAAAATGACAGAGCGGGGTCAGCGCATGCTGAAGTGCAGAGTGCAGAAGTCACCAACTGTCTGCAGAGTCAATAGCTAAAGACCTCCAAACTTCATGTGGCCTTCAGATTAGCACAACAACAGTGCGTAGAGATCTTCATGGAATGGGTTTCCAAGGCCGAGCTGCTGCATCCAAGCCTTACATCACCAAAATCAATGCAAAGCGTCGGATGCAGTGGTGTAAAGCACGCCGCCACTGGACTCTAGAGCAGTGGAGACATGTTCTCTGGACTGACCAATCACGTTTCTCTGTTTGGCAATACGATGGACGTGTCTGGGTTTGGCGGTTGCCAGGAGAACGGTACTTGCCTGACTGCATTGTGCCAAGTGTAAAGTTTGGTGGATGGGGGATTATGGTGTGGGGTTGTTTTTCAGGGGTTGGGCTTGGCCCCTTAGTTCCAGTGAAGGCCCCTTCCTGTTCCAACATGACTGCACACCAGTGCACAAAGAAAGGTCCATAAAGACATAGATGAGTGAGTTTGGGGTGGAAGAACTCAATATTGAACCCTATAGACTAGGAAAAATAAAGTTGACAGCATCCAGGAGAGATGTACCGCAGCTATCTGCCCATAAATGCAGTTAATCGCAGTACAAAGAAGAAATAAGCAAACAGTTGCTATAGAAAAGGCAAGAATTTACCACCGCAACTGCATGTAAATGCACGTAATTGCAGATAAACGCAATGTACAAACGCAAGTGATCTCTGTGCCAGGAGTGTTGAGATTTCAAAATAAAAAAAGACATGCATTTACAAGTGGCAGAACAACCATCCGTGTGAAAGAGGCCTTACTTTGACACTGCTGCTGTAGTGTGGGACCATTTTCTGTGACTCATTATTTTACGGAGCCCCAAGCTGGGTACACATGGGTCGAAAATGATTGATTCGCAAGGTGCCACCCAACTTTTAGCCTGTGTGTACAGCTCCTTGTCCAACAGAAGCCCGGTCTCCTAACTAGCTGCAGAAAAGAATGAAAAGGTCAATTTTAACCATTTGCCCTCCAGAGGTTTTACCCCCCTTCCCGATCAGGCCATTTTGTTTGCGATACAGCGCTGCGTTACTTTGACAATTGCGCGGTCATGCAGCGCTGCACCCAAATTAAATTTATATCCTTTTGTTTCCCATAAATAGAGTTTTCTTTCGGTGGTATTTTATAACCTCTGCTTTTTTCATTTTTTGCACTCTAAACAAAAAAAATACCGACAATTTTGAGAAAAAAAACTATATTTTTGACTTTTTGCTATTAAACATGTCCATTAAAAAAAAATAAAAAAAAAAATAAAATTTCGTCATAAATTTAGGCCAAAATGTATTCTGCTACATGTGTTTGCTAAAAAAAAAAATCCCAATACATGTAAATTAATTAGTTTATGTGAAAGTTATAGCATCTGCACATGGCAGTATATATACTGGAAATTGTTTTTTTTTTTTTTTAATACTAGTAATGGCAGCGATCAGCAACTTATAGCTGCGGTAGGCATTCTGACACTGGGGGGGGGGGGAGCTGACCAACTGTCATTGACATCCCCAGGGTCACTAATACAGTGATCAGTGCTAATAAAAAGCACTGACACTGTACTAATGACACTGGACAGGAAGGGGTTAACATCTGGGGCAATCATAGGGATAATTTTGTGCTGTGTGTATTTTACAATGTAATGTGCTATGCAGAGCAATACAAAGCAGTGTGCTGGAACTGACAGGGGAGAGATCTGTATTGTTTACATACAGACCTCTCCCCTGTCAGTGATACTCGTCTATCGCCAGGTGCCGGCGGGGAATCTCTGGCTGGGACCCAGTAATCGACAGCTGAAGCCGCCAATGGCGAAAAATGCGAAATCCCATATATATACACGATTTTGCGCAGCCGTACCGCTCTTTAGCAGTGTTTCTGCTATAGGGTGGCGGGCAAGCAGGGTAAAGAACATTAAATTACAAATTTGCTTGTGTAGTGATTATATGTTATATTTATTTTTAATAAAACTTGAATTTTGTTTAACCACTTGCCTACAGGGCACTTATACCCCCTTCGTGCCCAGGCCAATTTTCAGCTTTCAGCGCTGTTGCACTTTGAATGACAATTGCGACAATTGGTCATGCAACACTGTACCCATATGAAATTTTTATTTGTTTCACACAAATAGAGCTTTTTTTTGGTGGTATTTAATCGCCGCTGGGTGTTTTATTTTTTGCGTTATAAACAAAAAAAGAGCAAAAAATTTGAAAAAAAAAAGTTTTTCTTTGTTTCTATTATAAAATTTTACAAACCAGAAATTTTTCTTCTTCACTGATGGGCGGCACTGATAGGCGGCACTGACACTGGCACTGCTGGGCACTGACTGGCGGCACTGATAGGAACTGATGGGTGGCACCGCTGGGCAGCACTGATGGGTGGCACTGCTGGGCACAGGTGGGTGGCACAACTAGGCATAGGTGGGTGACACTGATGTGGGCTAATGGGCACAGGTGGGTGGCACTGCTGGGCACTTGTGGGCGGCACTGCTGGGCACAGGTGGGCGGCACTGGTGAGTGGTACTGCTGGGCACTGATCATCAGAGCACTGATCATCAGTGCCCTGACGATCTGTGCTGATCCGTCCTCTGACAATTGCCGGTTATCGGGAGTACTTTCCTTACGCTGTGGCAATTGCATTTACCGGTGATCTGCTGTGTTATTGGACTCAGCTGAAAGGCTGCTGTGATTGGCCTTTTACCATATCACGTGATCAGCTGTGTCCGTAGGACACAGCAATCATGGAGATCGCCGGGGGCACTTGGGAGGGCGAGTTCTGGGAGGACGTCATATGACACCCTCCCAGAACTGGACAACCGCGCTGTAGCCGTCATTTGGCTATAGCCATGTTGTCAAGTGGTTAAAGTGGAACTAACTAAACCCTCCTATTCTTTACAGCCAAAAAAGCTGCCATCTTAGCCTTTGTTTGATCTGCAGTTGTCATAATGCTGCACATGTGATCAGTTATGACACCAGTTATTTGATGATTCAACAATTCAGTTGAAAGCTAACTTAAGCACTCTAGTAACTATGATAGTTATCATTCAGGGCATGCCTCCAACATCTGTTTTGGGAAACAGTTAAACTGGTTGATTAATGCAGGCCATACATGGGTTGAATTCTAAAAGAATTTTCATTTGAAAAATGTAACCATTAATTTTCATTCAAATTTCGCATCATTAGTGAGCTGCAGTATCGACTTTGGCCATCGAATTTGAGTGAAAGGAATGAATTTCTAATCAATGATGGGTTAATCGTGCGAGAAGTATATTCAAAAAAGAAATGAGCATGAGCTGTAATCTGGAAAGGAAAGAAGATTCCTGGGCACAATTCTTTTCTTTGGCAACATAAGGTGAAATTGAAGGCTTGGTTGGTTGAATTTCAAAATCGATGGTGGCACAATCAGACTACAAAACACACCAAAATTCTAATTTTCTAAAGGAAATTTGTTTAGAATTCAACTCATGCATGGCCTGCCTTAGTTCTGCTCTCATATGAAGAAGGAGTACAACACAGAACAGTTTAAAAATAAATTCAGCAGTTTGTCAGTGAATGTACACTTGGATTGTTTTTAGTTTGCCTGGAGTTCTGCTTTAATGGCACTATTTTTCAGAGTGACAGCTGGTGAGCATGCAGCTGCAAGGAGATATACACCTGTAATTTCTACATGCAGTAAAGTATGAAGTGGTAACAGCAATTCATATCCTGTTGTTTCATTCTGTTACTTCTTTCTCTGGCAGGATCAGAGGGTATTCAGGCACGTGGAAAGAGCCTGGAGGTAACGTCAAATGAAGGGAAACTTTTGTTTTCTGCAGATGAGAAGGAAGTGGTTGTCGGAGCAGACAGATTGCGAGTTTTAGGTAACCGTTACATTTTTTTTACATTTACAAAGTGTTGCTCCTGCTAGTTCCAATACTTTGGTGCTGTGCCTGATACATCTGAAGGAGGTGATTTTTCTTTGCAAAAAAAAAAGTAAGAAAGGGTTAAAACATTATCAGGTGTTTGCCATCTGAGATTTCTCTTCACAACAGGAAGTGAGAGAAAATCTCTCCAAAGTGTGGTAAAGCCCCTCTTATTATTATTATTATTATTATTATACAGTATTTATAAAGCGCCAATGGTTCGCTCAGCGCTGTACATTACAAAGGGGGACAGAACATGTGACAGAACAATACCAATACAATGCAAAACATGAGGGGATCGAGGGCCCTGCTCTTTTGAGCTTACAATCCAGGAGTCGAGCTTACAATCTAGGAGATTTATAAAAGAGCGTAGGTGACTAGACAACTATCATTAGAGCAGGTGTCCCAGTTGGAAGATTTCCTCTCTATTCCTGTTCTGGTCAAAACTCAACATTTGGGATTTTTCCTAAGTTGGTCATAGTCACCAGGATACAGACAGCAATACAAATGTGACAGGGTTTCTAATTGTTTGATAATCTATATAAAACTAAAAAAGGTTTGACTTTAGCTACATTTTAAAATGGTGACATAGGATATATGGGGTAGAAAAAGTTTTGTCTTATATTGATCTGTGCATCTGCAACGCTGGCAATATTTAAGTTCCCGTTTCAGTGCTCACCAAGAGTGCTGTGGCAGAAATAAAAGCAGAGTCTTTGTATGTGGTCAGCACAGTAGTTAAGTGGTTGGCACTTCCGCCTTACAGTACTAGGGTTGTTGGTTCGAATCCCAACCATGACAATACCTGCCTGGAGTTTGCATGTTCTCCCCATGCCTGCGCGAGTTTCTTCCGGATACTCGTTTCCTCCCACACTCCAAAGACATGCTGCTAAGTTAATTGGCTCCTGTCTAAATTGGCCCTAGTATGTGTATGTACGAATGTGAATTAGGGACTAGATTGTAAGCTCATTAAAGGTTAGGGACTGATGAGAATGTACATATATATATATATATATATATATATATATACCGTGTTCCAAATTATTATGCAAATGATATTTTTCTAATTTACCTAAATAACTGATGTAAACAACAGTCAGTATAATTCTCATGTTATCAACTATTAAGTGTACAATTCAAATTTTATTGAACAAACCTCCTAATGATAACAGTATTTTTTTTAACCATAAAAAACTTCCAATGCACTGTTATTATTATTGCACTGTTATTACGCACAGTAAGTTTCAAAACAATTTATAGGTTGTAAAGAACTGAAAATTGTCATTTGTTGTGTTTGCAGCATATTTACTGAAATCGAAAGCTATTTCAACCAAACTTTTAACAACATTTTAACTTTTTAAACATTTTACCAGGTCACGTTACATTTTAACATAGGACCCCTTATTTGATAGCAGTTTCACAAGTCTTGCATCCATTGAACTTGTGAGTTTTTGGACAGTTTCTGCTTGAATTTGTTTGCAAGATGTCAGAATACCCTCCCAGAGCTGCTGTTTGGATGTAAACTGCCTCCCA